TCCTCCCTTTCAAGCTTCTGGAAGGGACACTTCTCACCTCTTACCTCCCCCACATTCTTGTCTCAACAGACTACAATCTGATTTCCACCCTCACTATGCTATTTAAACTTCACCAAGCTCACTGGTACATTCCCAATTGCTAAATGTTTCCATGTTTTATTTACTGAAATTCTATGCTGCACGATTGCTCTCTACCCCTTGAACTTTTCATTCACTTGTCTTCCTGGGGTTGGCTCTCTCCTCAGCACTCTACCGATTTTCCCTGTGAGACACCATCCACTCTCCTCGATTCAGGTGACCACCTGTCATAAAGGTAATTTTTTTTTTTTTTTTCCTGAGACCGAGTTTCACTCTTGTCGCCCAGGCTGGAGTGCAATGGTGCAACCTCAGTTCACTGCAACCTCCGCCTCCCAGGTTCAAGTGGTTCTCGTGCCTCAGCCTCCCGAGTGGCTAGGATTACAGGCGCCCACCACCATGCCCGGCTAATTTTTGTATTTTTAGTAGAGATGGAGTTTTGCCATGTTGGCCAGGCTGGTCTCAAACGCCTGACCTTTGACGATCCACCATCCTTGGCCTCCCAAAATGCTAGGATTACAGGCATGAGCCACTGTGCCTGAGTTTTTCGTTTTTTTTTTTTTTTTAGTGGAGACAGGGTTTCATCATGTTGGTCAGGCTAGTCTTGAACTCCTGACCTCAGGTGCCTCCCAAAGTGCTGGGATTACAGGTGTGAGCCCACACACTGGGCCCATAAAGGGAAATCTTATCTGGGATCTTAGTACAAAGTTATCTAAGGGGGAAGGGTAATACTCATATAGATTCTTACTACCTGAGGGTAAAAACTATTTTACATACAGCCTGCCACAATAGGCAAACCATAGATATCTGTTGAGCAAATTACCCCTTATAAACTTTGCTTCACAGATACCTAAGCAATTTCTGTAGATGTGTCCAAATGTTTACAGAAATATTGTAAACATTGTACAGAGTGTTACAGATGTTCAAAGGGAACTATCATTTTTGGCTGGGTAAGAATTTTTGGCAGTGACAGCACTTGAGCTGGAAATAGTTTCAGCCATGTCCAGGGGAGGAGTAATAACATTCAACTCCCATGCCAGAGATGAGAACAGCAACTGGAGTGACTCTGTGGAAACATCAAGTTTGAATAAGGGAATAGAAGATTCAACTAAAAATATAGGTAGGAGGCTGGGCGTGGTGGCTCACGCCTGTAATCTCAACACTTTGGGAGGCTGAGGCTGGCAGATCAGCTGAGGTCAGGAGTTCAAGACCAGCCTGGCCAACATGATGAAACCCATCTCTACTAAAAATACAAAAATTAGCCAGCATGGTGACACACACCCTGCTACTCAGGCGGCTGAAGCAGGAGAATCAATTGAGCCCAGATTGCAGTGAGCAGAGATCTTGCCACTGCACTTCAGCCTGGGCGACAGAGAGAGACTCCGTCTCGGGAAAAAGAAAAAGGAAATAAACATGAGGACCGCCTGAAGGCTAAGCTAAGGAGTGCTGGGATTACTCTGTAGGCAGGGAGGAGCCTAGACCACACACGTGCTCAGCCGTCCTATCTGATGGCAGAGTGGCTGCTGGATTGGAGCGTCACACTGGAGGTGAACAGACCATGGGGCACTCCAGTGAGCAAAATGAGAGGCTGACACAGGGCAGTGGCACTGAAATGACAAGAAAACAGCTGTAGTACTTGGCAGATTTCATCGAATCAAATAAATTTGTATCTATGTACATATATATAAACACACAAATTTTAACTTATTATTATTTTAGAGACACTGTCTCACTGTGTTGCCCAGGCTGGAGTATGGTGGCACGATTAGAGCTGACTGTACCTTTAATTTATGGGCTCAATCCTGCCTTGGCTTCCCAAAACCCTGGGATTAACTGACGTGAGCCACCGCTCTGGCCAAATTTTAACATCTTTGTTATTGAAATACAATCAATTGCATGTTTTAATTTAATTGCCAGCATTTTTTAAAATAATACATCACATATTACTGCATCATAAAGTTCATGTTGTCTTAGAGTCAATGAAATATGATACCTGGCTGTGAGTAAGAAACAAGGAATTCAAAAGCAAAGTTTCAAACCTGGGTGATTTTTGTTTTGCTCGTTGCCCAGGCTCAAGTGCAGTGGTGTGATCTGGGCTCACCGCAACCTCCACCTCCTGGGTCCAAGCCATTCTCCTGCCTCAGCCTCCTGAGTAGCTGGGATTACAGACATGTGCCACCACACCCAGCTAATTTTGTATTTTTAGTAGAGACAGTGTTTCTCCATGTTGGCCAGGCTGGTCTCAAACTCCTGACCTCAGATGACCTGCCTGCCTTGGCCTCCCAAAGTGTTGGGATTACAGGCGTGAGCCACTGTGCCCAGCCAAACCTGGATGATGGAGTTTCCTTGATCCCCACAGGAGAGCATAACCAAATCTTCTATTTGAGTAATGATCCCCAGACAATACTGCTCACCCACCTTCCCCACTTGAACTTATTAATAATAATAAGAGGAAGTAGTTATTAGTGACAACTTTAATATGAACACGTGCTTAACCCTCAAGAAATTGTCACAACTGAAAGAGGGGAGCAAGCTGACACTGCAGGGAGCACACGATGCTTAGGAATGGGTGGCCTGCTGTTTCTGGATCCAGTTGATATTCAAGCATATCAAAGCAGCAGTCATTTGAACAGTCGGAACTTCTTCAAATACTGGCCCACTTCTTCCTTGGGGTAGGGCCGGAGAGCAATGCACGTGGCAATATTCTCTGGTTGCTCGAGCCATAGCATGTGGTCAATGTTCTTCTGTTGCAGGGTCTCAGCCAGCTCCTTTAGGGTGGTCTCATCTGGGGCCTAAAGGAGAACACAGAACACAAACTGAATAGCCCATTTAGGAAGTGTCAGAAGGCCAAAAAAGGTTTCAGGAGTCCTCGTAACTGAAAGTGGAATAACAGCTTTACCAAAGAAGGAGCTGCAGAACAACCATGCCATTCCTTGCTGCACTGGGGAGGGGAGAGAAGCTTCATATTCCTGTTCAGAAAATGGAGATTTGTATCTTCCCTCGTGAGATGCTGCATGCCCAACACACACATGTAATGTGTAATTCTGCTCTGCACGTTTTCTAGCTCTCCTATGGCTATGCCCATAATTTTAAGTGCCTCTGACTTTAACAGCTGCCCAGTGGAAGGATTTCTTCTTTTTGAGATGGAGTCTTGCACCGTCACCCAGGCTGGAGTGCAGGGGTGCGATCTCGGCTCACTGCAGCTTCTCCCTCCTGGGTTCAAGCGATTCTCCTGCCTCAGTCTCCCAAGTAGCTGGGATTACAGGTGCCTGCCACCACATCCGGCTAATTATTTTGTTTTATTTATTTATTTTTTTGGGACCGAGTCTTGCTCTGTCACCTGGGCTAGAGTGCAGTGGTGCCATCTCGGCTCACTGCAACCTCTGCCTCCTGGGTTCCAGCAATTCTCCTGCTTCAGCCTCCCAAGTAGATGTGATTATAGGCACCCACCACTACGCCTGGCTAATTTTCGTATTTTTAGTAGAGACGCAGTTTCACCATGTTGGCCAGGCTGGTCTTGAACTGACCTCAGGTGATCCACCCGGCTCAGCCTCCCAAAGTGCTGGGATTACAGGCATGAGCCACTTTGCCCAGCCTCTCTTCGTCCCTTTATAAAATAGGAGGATTAATGAAATTCGGCTCAGACCTGTGCCTGGCACATACTAAGCACCCAATAAATGTTAATCCTGGTATCGTCTTATATTTTGTTGGCCTTTCTGACTACAACAGCACCTCAACTTAACCAGTAGCAACTCCTAAGTCCCTTTCTTGAGTCATGACTAACAACTAAGAATCAGCAGACGTCTTTTAAACTCCGGGGAGTCACTTAATCTCTGTGGGCTTCATATCATCTGCGACAAGAGGAGTCTGAACCTGATTTCCTGAGGCCTCTTCCTAGGAAGAAAATCTAAGTGAAAAGCCAGCGGCTTCTGTTCTGCCTACTCAGATTCTCAAGACATTTTCCTACAGGTTACCGCTTGATGTTTCACTACCCAGCAGCAATTTTCTTGAACGATAATCTGTCTTTGCCAGTTACCCATGAAGGGATTACTCTCCCCCTCCACCTGAGTTCTGGCTTAATTAAAGCCGTTTTTCCTTATTATAAAATATGTGCTTAAGGTAGAAAATTTAAAAAATATAGAGAAGCATCAGGAAATAACCAAAATCTCACCATGTACTACTTAATATTTAGATATATTTCCTTAGTTTTTCCTTTCGAAGCCTGGATCATTCTGTATATATAGTTCAGTTAGCTTCGAATCATGAGCACTCTTCCAGGCCACTAAATATGCTTCAAAACCGTTAAGGGCTCCCATGATTATCCTTGTGCAAAGCTCTTTGGGTGCATCTGATTATTTTCTTAGGCTATATCTCGAAGCAGCAGGAGAGACAGAGTCAAAGGGTAAGGGTGAGATTTGCTTGGTCATCTGCAAAAAGAACCTAACTGCTATTTTAAAAGGGGTACCGATTTACACCCCTGGTGCCTGGTCTATCTGAGGCTAGGTTCAATTTTTACTAAGGTTTTTAATATTTATTTTCAAATAATTTGGCGTCCTACCCAGGTAAATACTCAGTTTGACTTCACTTTGCACTGACCCCAAGCGAGAGCCCTCGACGTCTCAGCACCTCCCCCTCCGCCCGTGTGCCTCACCTCAAGGACCACTTTGCGCATGCGCCCCAGCTCTTGGAGGTAAGCGGCTGTGTGCGGGTGGTCGCGGTGAGTGTGCAAGGCCGCGGTGGCCGCGTGACAAGCCTGCGCTACCAATGCGCCCGCCGGCCAGGAGAACGGAGCTTGTGATAGATCCTTTCGTAACACCAAGTATTGTACCAGGACCTGCGGCTCCGCCCCTGAGGCCGCCATCTTCCTGACCACCCGAAAGACCAGACCTACTCTCCGGAGCATGCTGGGATCAGGGCGGGGCCCTGAGCGCCGCCATGTTTTTGTACGGCAGTATCGCAAAGCACGCCGGGACCGGTTGAGTTGATTTTGAAGACGTGGATGGCGGGAATTCTCGCCCCTGGCCTGAGTGAGCCAGAAGGGAAAAAAAAGGTAGGGGAAAGACCCAGTGTTGGACCGGACAGTGGCCAGGGTGGGGGGCTGAACAGCCTTCTTAAAACTTCTTTCCTGGCTGGGAAGCCCGCTGGACGAGAGGAGCGGCGCCTTCGGGAGCGTTTAGGGGGCGCGGGGGTGGGCGTGGACTCTGCTGGCTCCGACACTGGGAGCTGGCGGGCGGCTCAAGGCCGGGGGTCCTAGCGGTGACATTTGTGTCGTCCGCGGCCCAGGGGTTGTGCGTGAGTGGTGTGTGCCCTGCCGTCTGATTTTGAATGAGAATAGATATGATATGACTCTGTTGCTTTTTTTTTTTTTTTAACCAGCAAGGACATTGAGGTCCCTATCACCGCTTGCTGGACAACTTCTTGAGAAGGCCCTTGGGAATCTGAGATGGAGCAGGCGAACCCTTTACGTCCAGATGGCGAGTCCAAAGGAGGTATTCAGAGGGTCGCCGCCTTCCCCTTCCTGCTGCTGCCCAAAGATGATCCGCAGGCTGAGAGAGCCCTTTCCTCCTGGAACTGACGTGAGACCTGGCCCCGTTTGGGAGCAGAATGGTGAAAGAACCTAACACTGAAGACAAAGGGACAGGCAGCCAAGACCATTCGAGGAGGAAAAATGGCTTCGTTTCTAGGCTCCCACCCGTTTTGAAACCGATAAGCTGCATCCGTCATGTGCTGTGTTTATATTCTGAACTAGGGTTCTAGCCAGGGGTCTCTTTCCTCTCCCTGGATTTTTTGGGCCATTTATGCATTACTCCTGAGGGAGGGCCGGTGCAGGGCCGTGACTTTGGTGTTGGTCAGAACTGGGTTTGAGTCTTGGCTCTGCCATTTTAAATATTGTGATCTCAGGCAAGTCAGTTTATTTTCTGCCTCAGTTTCTTCATCTGGAAAATGCAAGTGAAAATAGCGCTGTTGCGGTGGTTGTGGAAAAGGTGTTTCTTTTGTGGTGGAAAGGTATTCAGACTTTTCAAGTAAAGCATTTAGCACGTGTCTAATATATAGGAAGTATTCAATAAAAGGTTTAATTCTTTACATACTCTGTAAGTATCTTAAGATGTAGAAAGTGTTTAAAGAATGCTTTATTGTTAGAGTTGCTTAGAATTATGAACTCTTACTTAGTCCTTAGTCCTTTGGAAACTGAGATTTACATCCGAATTTCTGTCCAGAAGTAAAGTTGCTTTCCTCTTTAGTGCCCAGTAATATTTGTGGACAGTTTGGTTTTGTATGACTTTATGTCCTGTGCTACGAATACTTTTTAGAACTTTGAAATACTTAATCAAGCCTGATGCCTAAATCCACAGGGTTCTGCACTAGTACTTTGGGAAAGCTTGCCATAAAACCCAACCTAAAATATTACAGTTTTAAAAAGAATTTCTGAGTGTCTCAGTGAATTTGGCGACCCTACTTTTCTCTGGGTCATCGTTATCCTTGACAACTGAGAAGTAGCTATATTCAGCTTAAGATGGCTTAAGCTGAGACTTTAGATCATAAAAGTGTATGGGGTAAGATTTATTGTTACTTTAAGACTAAAAATAAGTTTGGTGACTTTATGTAGTAGAAACATGCTACACATTCAGGAGTAACCTACTCTCTAGTCCAGGCCTAATTTTGTTTCTGTTAAAATAAGCAGTGAGGTGGAGGTTTTGGATTATCTAGAGACTTAGACCAGTCCCCTTATTCTGTACCCAAAACAATATTTAAACATTTAGCTGTTACCCAGACTCGTTTTATCCCTCTGCTTCTGTCATTTCAGCTTTTTGCTTATGATTTGAAATCTCCCCACTCATTTGAGAAGGAAGGACATGGAATTTTAGTTGCGATCAGATGATTTATTCAAATGGGCAGGGATTTTGACCTTTTTTGTAACCTTTTTTTCTGACAAAGCTGACTGATGAGCATGAGATGCAATCATAACTTCCAAGGTAAAGCAGGCTCAGCAGATAGACTCTCTTTTCTGTAGTAGCAACGCTAAACAACAAGCTAACATAGTTTTGAACACCTGCTTATCTCAGAAACTTCGGGAACAATGATAGCTCCTCTTTTAGTAATGTAGAATTTCCATAAAATAGAATTTGGTCAGGCATCACCTGTGCCACTCTAAATTAAACCGTGTGTATGTGCTTTTCAGAGCACCTCCTGGTTGGACATTAAATAATTTTTGTAAGCTCTATGAGGACAGGAACTTCATTTTGCCACCACGGTATGAATAGTTTCCAGCATGGTCCTTGGTCTATAGTAGATTCTCGATACATAGTTGTTGGACAGAGAGATTTGTTAATAAAGCAGTGAATCACGTGCCAATTGTTAGGACTAATTTATTTAAAATTTTGGTATTTCACGAATATTATTGCAGTAATGTGGATCTTCCTGTGGACATATGCCAAGTGAACTAATCTCCAGCAGCAACATGCCTGGTTGTCCATGTTTTGGTAAATATTTCCAGAGTGTTTACCATGTGGCAGGCGTTGTGCCAGGTATAAGGGATACATGGGTGAACAGAAATGCACATGGCCCCTGATTTAGGAACTTTAAGGTTTGGTGAGAGATAAGCAATCAAATAATCACGCTAATGAATATACAATGAAAACTATAGGACTGGGTGCGGTGGCTCATGCCTGTAATTCTAGCACTTTGAGAGGCCAAGGTGGGAGGATCGCTTGAGCTCAGGAGTTTGAGACCAGCCTTGTAAACATAGTGAGACCCGCGTTTCTTATTTAAAACAAAACAAACAAAAAAACTATAATATTGTCTCAGGCTCTTTGAGATCTTATGTGCTGGCAGCTGACCTTGTTCTGAAGGTGCTACAAAGGTTTCCCTGAGGAACTACTGCTTGCATTGAGTGCTAACGAGCTAGAGTAACTGCAGGTGAAGGTGGATAAGGGGCCGTGGAAGAGCATCTGGTGTAGGGGGAATCAGGTTGGTAAAGAAGCTGGGCAGGTTTGAGAGGCTGAGAGGAGGGCTGTGTGGAAGAGCATTGAGAAGGGGCAGCATGATACTGACGAGGGCAGGAGAGACGCAGAGGCCAGTAGGCTTCGTAGGCAGTGTGCAGTCATCGAAAGGCTTTAGCCAGCTGGATGATGTGACACAATTTAGGTTTTGAAATATGCCTTCATTGTATGGGCCACCTAGGAAACTTGTAATCGGCCAGAAATGGTGGTGGCTTGAACTACAATGGTGGCAGTGCAGATGGGGAAAATGGAAATATTTCAGAGATACTAGGAATGTATATTCAGTAGGATTTGGTAACAGATTAGGACTGGGGCAGGAGAAGGTTTAAGGAAGAAAGTACCTGGCTTACACAGCTAAGTGGATGATGGTTCCAGTCATGGAGGGGTTTAGAGGGGGAAGATGATGAATTCAGTCTTGGACATGTTGATTCTCAGGTTTCTGTAAGTCTTCCAAGTAGATGCACTGAGAAGGCAGGTAGATATTCTGCTTTCTCAGGAGCAGGAGAGAGGTATAAGCTAAAGATACGTATTTGTGAGGCATTGACATATATGGCCATTAAGGCTGTGGGTACTGATGAGATTTCTTCTGGAGAAAAGAGGTCTTAGGACTGAGCTCTGGAAAATTTCAGCATTTAATGGTCAAGGAGGAGAGTAGCAGCCTGCAAAGCAGAAAGAGGGGTCAGAGCGGTAAAATGTAAGCTTCACAAAACCAAGGTGTTCATCTCTAGTTCATCACTGTGTTCCTAGTGTCTAAAATAGTGCTTGGCACAAAATAGATCTTAATAAACATTTATTCAACAAGGCAAACCAAGAGGCTGGTATGCTAAGATTCAAGGGAAAAGAGGATTTCGTGAAGGTGGTGATCAGTAGAAGCATGTAGCGCTGGGAGGTGAGATAAGGGCGCTCGAAAAATGTTCTTTGGGTTCAGCAGCATGGACATCACTGTTGATCTTAGAGTCGTTTTGTAAAATAATAGGAACAGAAGTGAGTTTCAAGTGGGTTAAGGTATGAGTCACGGGCAAGGAAATGGAGAAAGTGAGTACAGGTTGAGAACTGAAAATCCAAAATCTGAAATACTCCAAAATCGGAAGCACTGACATGATGCTCAAAGGAAATGCTTATTTCTGATTTTGAATTTTCAGATATGGGATGTTCAGCCAGTAAGTATAATGCAAATATTCCCAATTCTGAAATCAGAAACACTTCTAGACCCAAGACTTTCAGATAAGGGATACTCAACTTGCATGGACAACGCTTTTAAGTAGTTTTCCTGGAAAGAAAAAGAGAGAAAAGGGCAATGGTAGCTGAAGGGGATTTGTGAGCAAGAATAGGCCTGTGAGTGAATGTGTGTGTGTGTGAATGAGTGTGTGTATGAGTGTGTGTGTTTGAAGGCATTTGAGACTTGAGCATATGTGGAAGGGAAATGAACACAGCTGAGAAAATGGGTAACTGATCATTGACGGCTTCTGAGAAAGCAAGAAGGGATAGGCTTCAATGACGAAAATAGGATAATTCTGCATATAGTGTGTATCTGTTTCTATTTGATCTCACACAATTTTTTTTAATGGTTTTATTAGCCGTAAAAACTGTAAGAGGTTTCCAGTCTTAATTAGATGAGTGAATAAGTTTTTGGATTCTGTCCCAAGGCAAGGAAAGAAGATTAAGATTTTCATACATTTATCTATATGAATCCTACAAAATAGATGCCAGGTGTACTTAAGAAGCTCGATTAAATAAAGTCTGGGACTTCTTTTTTAAACAAAAAGAAGAGCAAGACAGAGTCTTGCTCTGTCACCCAGGCTGGAGTGCAATGGTGCAACCTTGGCTCACTGTAACCTCTACCACCCGGATTCAAGCAATTTTCCTGCCTCAGGCTCCTGAGTAGCTGGGATTACAGGCCCATGCCACCATGCCCGGCTAATTTTTTGTATTTTTAGTAGAGATGGGGTTTCGTCATGTTGTTCAGGCTGGTCTCGAACACCTGACCTCAGGTGATCCCCCCCACCCCCCTAACTTGGCCTCCCAAAGTGCTGAGATTACAGGCATGAGCCACCACACCCGGCCTTGAGGGGGATTCTCTCCAGCCCGTGGTAAAGCTAGGGAATCATCCTTTACACACTAGAGATGTGGATTTTCGATAAACTGCAGACCTAGATAAGACACTGCTGCCTAATCAGTGTGTGATAGTTCATGTCCTCTCTCAAGCTCTCTTTGAAGAGGATCCTGTTTTACATCACTCTTCAACCTACAAGGTTGATGATCTTTGATTTCAATTGTTAGCTTCCTTGGTTTTATAAATTGACAGATACCTAACAATTCAGCTGGCCACAAAGTTCTGGTAAAAAAGAGTCACCTGTTCTTCCCTGAGAGGAGTCTTGTTGCCACAGTGAAAGATCCTTGGCTTCTTGTGAAATTCTCCTTTTACTCTCCTTAGGTGTTTTAGCTCACTTGGAAAGGCTAGAGACCCAAATGAGCAAATCCCGTAAACAGTCTGAAGAGCCACAGAGCGTGCAGGCCCAGGAAGGTGCTCTTGGAACCAAGATTCATAAACTGCGGCATCTGCGAGATGAGCTGAGGGCAGCAGTGCGGCACCGGCAAGCCAGCGTGAGTAGAAGGGTGGCATCGGCCGTTCCTTTAGATTGTCATGAACAAACGTGATTTGGGAATTGGCGAATTGGCAAATTTTTATAATGTGTTTTACTTGTGATCTTACTGGATTGATTGCAGTCCTTGATCCCTCAAATGATCAAACCTGTAGAGTTGGCCGGGCTCAGTGGCTCATGCCTGTAATCCTAGCACTTTGAAAGGCTGAGGTGGGCCTATCACTTGTGGTCAGGTGTTCGAGACCAGCCTGGCCAACATAGCGAAACCCTGTCTCTACTAAAAATACAAAAATTAGCTGGGTGTGGTGGTGCGTGCCTGTAATCTCAGCTACTTGGGAGGCTGAGGCATGAGAATTGCATGAACCTGGGAGGTGGAGGTTGCAGTGAGCCTAAATCGAGCCACTGCATTACAACCTGGGCAACAGAGCAAGTCTCTGTCTCAAAAATAAAAAAATAAAAAAGCCTGTAGAGTTGCAGTGAATATCACTGTCACCTAACATTTGTCAGGCACTACTGATAAGCCAGGCAAGTTCTTCCTGACAGATTCTTAATCTGCCCTAATAAACAGCTACGTTCGTTACCTCAATCACGTACATATTGGGTATATACCTAGTGGAATTGCTGGCTCATAGGATAGGTATATCAGGTTTAGTAAATACTGCCAGTTTTTGAAAATAATTGTACCAGTTTGACATTCCCAGCAAGATTGTATAAGATTTCCATTGTTTTGCATTTTTACCAATACTTACAGTCACCTGACCTGAGTTGTTGATACTTTTGTCGTTAGCGACATTTGTCACCCAGACTCAGAACCTCACAGGGAACTCGACCCTTCCCTTTTTTCCGTTTTTTCTCTAGCTTAGGTTCAGTCAGCAAGACCTATCAGATTTTTCTTTTATATTGTCTCTGTCCCTCCTCCATTGCCACCCCTCAATTATTGGCCATATATGGAATAAATATCAGGTGATTTGGATGCCAGGATTATGACAGTAGTCTGCTAGTTGGTGCATCTTCTAGTATTTCTGCTTTTCCAATAAATCCTGCACAGCCAAGAAAATGCTTCATGAAACATCACACCATTTCTCTGCTCTAAAACCGTCAACAACCATTCATTGTCTATGGGATAAGGTCAGCTTCCCTCCTTCTCTTCCTTTTCCATCTATACCTCTCTTCCTTCCTCCCTTCTTCCCTTCATTTTTTTTTTAAGTGCTGTATATATATGAAGTGCATAAATCTGATGGACTTTGTTACAAAGTTAGCACAGCCAGGTGACTGCGACAGAGGTTCAAGTATAGAACATTACCAATACCCTAGAAGTCTCCAGTTTGCCTTGTCCTAGTCACTTCTCTTAAGGTAACCACTATTCTGATTTCTGTCACCATAGATTGGTTTTACCTGATTTTGAACTTTATATAAATGTTAGAAGTACAAACTCTTATGTCTGACTTCTTTTGCTGAATCTTAGGACTGTGAGATTCACCTACACTTTGCTTATAGTGGTCATTTTTTTTTTTTTCTTGAGATGGAGTCTCCCTTTGTCACCATGCTGGAGTCCAGTGAGTGGCGTGATCTCAGCTCAGTGCAACCTCTGCCTCCCAGGTTCAAGCGATTTTCCTGCCTCACGCACCCGAGTAGCTGGGATTACAGGCATGCACCACTACGCCCAGCTAATTTTTGTATTTTTAGTAGAGAGGTTTCACTGTGTTGGCCAGGCTGGTCTCGAAATCCTGATCTCATGATCTGCCTGCCTCAGCCTTCCTGAGTGCTGGGATTACACTTGTGAGCCACCGCCCCTGGCCTGTGGTCATTTTTTTTTTTATTGCTATACAGCAATTCTATTGTATGAGTATACTACAGTTTACCCTTTCTACTCTGGTGTCATTTGGGTTACTTCACTTTGGGACGATTATGAATGTTGCCGCTATTAACATTTGTGTTTTCCTGTCCTTTGGTATAAAAATATACGCATATCTATTGGGTATGTGCCTAGTCAGATTGCTGGGTCGTAGGATATGCATATTAGATTTACTAAATTCTGCCAGTTTTTGAAAGTGATTATACCAGTTTAACATTCCCATACCAATACTTGCTATTGTCAGTTTTTAAATTTTGTCATTCTGATGGGAGTATAATAATACCTCATTTTGGATTGAATTTGCATTTGCCTCCTAACCACTGATGGTGAATCCCTATATTGAACATTTGAAAATACTCTATTGTGAAGTGTGCTTTTTTCAAGGCTCTTGTGAAATTTTTATTAGATTGTCCAGCTGTTAAACTGGAGAAATCTTTACATATTTTGAAGGAGTTATTTGTTGGGTATCTGTGTTAGGGTCTTCCTTAGACCGTGGCCTGTCTTTTCACCTCTAATTGTATCTTGTGATGAAAAGAAAATCTTTATTTTAATGAAGTTTGATTTAGGAATTAAATTTTATTCTTAGTGCCCTTGTTTCTTGTTTAATAAATCTTTGTCTAACTTAAGATTATGCTGATCTTTTCCTGGTATTTTCTTTTTTCTGAGACGGAGTCTCACTCTGTTACCCAGGCTGGACTGCAGTGGCACTCCAGGAGGCTTGAACCCACCTTCTGGGTTCAAGCAATCCTTCTACTCAGTCTCCCGAGTAGCTGGGATTGCAGGCATGCATTGCCACACCCGGCTAATTTTAGTATTTTTAGTCGAGACGGGATTTCACCATGTTGGCCAGGCTGGTCTTGAACTCCTGACCTCAGGTGATTCACCTGCCTCAGCCTCTGAAGGTGCTCGGATTACAGGTGTGAGCCACCTCGCCTGGCCAGGAAATGCTGTTTTATTTCTAGTTTGCTAAAAAGTTTTAATCATGATATTAAATTTCATCAAATATTTTTACTGCCTTTATTAAGGAGATCATGTGTTTTCTCCCTTATTTTATTAATTTGTGATATATATTGATTGCTGTTTAAATGATAAATTGCCCTCACATTCTCAAACCTAATTTGGTTTGATGTATTATCTGTTTAATATAATGCTAAATCTGACTTGCTGATGTTAGTTATTAGAACTTTTGCATCTAAATTCATGAGAGAGATTGCCCTATGATTTTTTTGTAATGACTTTGTCAGGTTTTGGCATCAAGTTTTATGTTGGTCTCAGAAAGCAGATTGACACATTTTCTTTTTTTTCTGTTGTTTAAAAGAGTTTATATAAAATTGGTGTTATTTTTCCTTACATTTTGATAAGGAGTTCCCTGGTGAAGCCCTTTGGACCATCTCTGTGGAAAGGGTTTTTAATTTCTGATCCAATTTCTTTGATCAACATAAGCTGTTCAGATTTCCTTTTTCTTCTTGGGTCACTTTTGGTATGTTGCATTTTGCAGTTTGTCCATTTTATGTAAACTCTCACATTTAAAGTTTGAAATTTTTAAAAAATAACCTACTGTCTTGTGATTAGAATGGATCAGTGGTGTCTCATTTTTTTTTAACAAGCAATAGAAAATGCATTTTTATTCCATATTTTAAAAATACAGACTTTCTAGCAACTTGTACATTTCTATTATAATAATAAATTGATACTCTGAGCCAAGAAAACAGTATCACCAAACGTTCATTTGTATCCTTTGTTTAGGGGTGTTTCACATTTATGCATAATTTTGCTTTTATAAAAGATGATTGTTACAATTAGGTATACATCCACTTGATTATGCCTAAGTTCTGTCTCTTAAAATATGTTATTTTAGAGAACCCATTGAACCATCTTATTCTTTTCTTCAGTTTTCTCCAAACAGTGGTAGAAGTACTATTTGATGAACAGAATAAAGAAAATTGTTTTTGACCACACTCAGATCATACTTGATATCTACAGTATAGTCCTGGCTACAAGGGAGTCCGACTCTAACTTGTGAAGTGGGCTTGTTTCGAAAGTAAAAATGAGGTGGTAACTAATGATAGTGCTAGTTATTATCAAAAATTAACAACTTTAGGTATTTTTGTTTTGGGTTTTTGTGGTTTAGGTGCATCCAAAATTTCTTCATAATCTGCGCTCATTCCCTTTGCCCAGCGACCAACTGTGACCATTCGATCCGAATTCTGACTTTCCAGGCAATCTTTCTTTAAATGTTCCACGGAGCCACAAAGTTTGCAACCACCACCATCAGCATAGAGTCCTTTGGGATTATCAGGACAAGCTCTGGACAGGTGCCCCATTTCTCCACAAACAGAACATTTTGCAAAAGGAAATTCACCAAGAGCCGGGTCTACTTTAGCCTTACACTTGGTTATTTCGTGCTCTGTGGACCCACACTTGTAACATATTCCAGTGTCCATATCTTGATTTTCAAGGGCAGCAGGGCGATCTGTCATTCCATGACCAGGTTTTCTGCAATGGAAACACACCATTTCATTTTTCTTTGCCGCTTGTCTTTTTAATCTTCCTTCCGTCGACTGTCTTTAAAGCAACTGCAGTTTCTTCCCTTACTTCCTGTCTGTTGCTATAATTTGCCCATTGTGAACCATCTGTGAATTCTGTCTTAGGTATTCCATGAATCCATTCACATCTTCATTTAAGTACTCTTTTTTTCTTTTTGTGTTTTGCTTGGGGTGCATCATTTTTAAGGGATAGCCTATTGGCTTCAAGTTGTTTACACTTTGGTAGGTTTTGGCTTGTTCCCCCAAAGGATCCCTTCTTCGTGTCCTCCCATGATGTTGCAGGCAAGGGTATTTTGTTATATGTAGTATTAACTCGTGCTCACCTGGTCATAATTTCATCAGAGGTACCTCACTGCGCTACCGCACACGAATTCCCCAGAGCAGCTGAGTTAGCAAGCCAGAGAAGCCAGCCCTGATGTCTCATTTTTTATTCTGATATTGGTCATTTGTGCTTGCTCTCACTCTATGTCTGTCTCCTCTATCAGTCTTGTTATGTTTTATCATTTTTGTTCTTTTTTTCAAAGAACCAACTTTTGGCTTTGTTGATTTTGTGTCTTGTTCATTTGTTTTATATTTTCATTGATTTCTGTTCATTATTATTTCCTTCCTTTTACTCTCTGAATTTCAGTTGTTTTTTTAGCTTCTTGAGATGAATACCTATTGATATCATTTAGTCTTCTTTTCTCTTAAATACACAAAAGGTTAAAAATTTTCCCTTTAAGCATGGGTTTAAATGTGTCCCACAAGTTTTCTTTTTCTTTTTGTTTGTTTGTATTTTTTTCTGGTTTTGTTTTTCAGTTTTTTTAAATTTTATACCCCACAAGTTGTGATATATTTTCATTATCATTTCAATTCAAATAGTGTTAATTTCCATTGTGTTATCATCTTTAGCCCATGGATTTGTTTTATAAGTGTACGGCTTAATTTTCAAAAATTTGGATATTTGATTTTTTTTTAAGTTACTAATTTATAGCCTAATTCCATATGGTCGAGAATATGACTCAGCTTGTGGTCAGTTTTTGTAAATGTTCCATGTGCATTACATGTTGATTTTGCATTTGTTGGCTCTTGTATTGTATATATATCAAATAGACCTAGGGTGTTTATCATGTTGTTTAAACATCTTATATCCTTAGCTGGGCATGGTGGCACATGCCTGTAATCCCAGCTACTTGGGAGGCTAAGGCAAGAGAATCACTTGAACCTGGGAGTCAGAGGTTGCAGTGAGCCAAAATTGCACCACTCCACTCCAGCCTGGGCAACAGGCTTAAAAAAAAAAAACTTATATCTTTACTGATTTACTTGTCTACTTGTTTTATTAGTTACCGAAATAGATGTGTTAAAATCTCCCACTGTGATTGTAGATGAATTTTTCCCCTCTTATTCTATGTTTCTGTATATATTAGGTACAAACAAATTTAGGAGTACTGTAGCTTCCTGATTTAATTAGCTTTTTATTATTATGAAATATTCCTTTTAACTTTTAATTAAACTTCTTGCCTTAAAATCTATTTTGACATTGGCCGGGTGTGGTGGCTCTCACCTGTAATCCTAGCACTTTGTGAGACTGGGGTGGGAGGATCACTTGCGCCTAGGAATTTTAGATCATCCTGGGCAACAGAGTGAGAGCCCCCAATCTTTAAATAAAAATTAAAACGTTAAAAAAAATCTACTTTGATGAATGTTGGTACAACAATAACTTTTTTAGGTTAACGTTTACAGGGTAAGTTTTTTTTCTTTTTGAGTTGGAGATTGGCTCTTGTCGCCCAGGCTGGAGTACAGTGGCCCAGTCTCGGCTCACTGCAACCTCCACCTCCTGGGTTTAAGCAATTCTCCTGCCTCATCAGCCTCCTGGTTTGCTGGGATTACAGGCATTTGCCACCACGCCCAGCTAATTTTGTATTTTTAGTAGAGACAGGGTTTCTGGGGCTCCCATGTATGGTGTTTGTGTGTGTGTGTGTTTGTGACCTATATCTTACTAATTTTCTAATCTTATTTTTTTCTCTGTACTTTAATCTAGATATGAAAATATGCCAATATGCCTATTTTCCACTCCATGTAAGATCTTATTTGGCTAGTTGGCTTTTAAATCTATTAAAATTCTAATTTGAGTTACTGTCTTTTTTTTGGTTCTAAGATTTCCATCTGGTTCTTTTTTTATAGATTCCAGCTCTTTGGTCTGAGTTTCCATCTTTTAGCCTGTTTTAATGACCATGCCGTCATTTGAATAGCTGAATGCCCTGGCATCTGTTCTGTTGTCATTTTTCTCTCAGTTTTCAGTCATCTGTTTCTGTTTTCTGGTATGCCTATATATTTTTTTTATAAGTATTGTGTACGAAAAAATTTACAGAGCCCGGGCGCAGTGGCTCACGCACGTAATCCCAGCACTTTGGGAGGCTGAGGTGGGTAGATCATCCAAGGTCAGGGGTTCGAGACCAGCCTAGCCAACATGGTGAAACCCCTGTCTCTACTAAAAATACAAAAATTAGCCAGGCGTGGTGGTGCACACCTGTAATTCCAGCTACTTGGGAGGCTGAGGTAGGAGGATTGCTTGAACCTGGGAGGCGGAGGTTGCAGTGAGCCAACTTCACACCATTGCACGCCAGCCTGGATGATGAGCAAAACTCTGTCCCCGCAAAAAAGAAAAGACAAACATATGGGTTTTGAATATGTTATCTTCCATGGGCTTCAGTTGTGGTGGTCTGTTTCCAGTTTGCCCTTACTCCTAGGGTGTAGCCTTTTTAGGGCCCTCAATTGAAAGTTTTGGAGTGTGTTGGGATGGGTCTATTAAGGCTCCTCTTTCCTGGCAGGCCCTGAAATCCACATTTTGCTCTTGCAAAATCTCTGCTTGGCCTTTTCCCCTTTAGGAGCTTCATTCTGTTTGGTTTCTTGATCCCCGGTCACACCTGTGCAGTTTAGGAATTAGCAAATGCTGGGGCGGGGGGTGTGGGCAGGTTGCAAGCAGAACGTTGAGTTCCCTTTAAATTGTGCTTTGATACCATTAATATCCAGTGTTTGTTCTGAATGAAATGGCTGCAGAGTCTAGTTTACGCCTTTCTCTGTGGCCCAGTGTGCCTTGCATATGAATAAGGAAATGCTCTGAGCTGCTGGGATACCAGCTGACTTCGGAGCATTTGTCAGTACTCTCCAGTCCTGGCTATTTGGATCCTTCTGGAACACCTTGAAACCTTCAGTCCTTCTTTGGATCCTTCTGGAATGCTCTCTTTGCTTATTTCTTTTTGGTATTTTATCCAGCTTGCATAGTTGTTCTCAGGGTGGGTCAGCCTGGTACCCTCTGCTGGGTCATAGCTAGCAGCACCCATCTTGGAGCCCTGGCACTTGAAACCCTGCAGTCTGACAAGCCCAGCTTTCCCAGCCTTGCCTCTTCACAGCCACCTGTCTTGTCTACCCTGTGCTTAGCCTAGACTTTCCGCACAACCTTTTCTTGCTACTCTCTCAGTCTTCTCCATTCTCACCAAAATTTGAATTGTTCTCCAGACCAGCACAATCTCTACTTCTGATTCCTGGCATTGTGACCCATGAGATTCTTCCTTTGCTGTGAATTCACAGCAATAACTGACCGGCCACAGTAGCATTTCTTGACGTATTACATCATATGCCCTGCATTGAGCTTTTATCCAGTGCGGTGAGGGCGGGGACATTGTGGTGTACCCCTTTGTACCTAGATTGATTTGCTTCGTATCTTGCAGGTGAAAGCATCTATTGCCAACGTAGAACCCAACCTAGCAGTGGAGATGAGTGAGCAAGAAGTGTTGGAAGAGAAACTGGAAAATGTGAAAGCCGTTCTGCAGGCGTATCGTTTTACAGGTTTAATTTGTTGGGGTTTTTTTTTAACCTAATTTAGTCTGGGCCTGTCTCTAGTGAGTTAGTTTGCTAGATGTGTTATCAGTCCTGGCCTTATTTCATGATAATTTATGGTATTTTATACTTCCTGCCCTCATCTCTCTCTCTCTCTCTCTCTCACACACACACACACACACACACGCAGCTGACATGCTATTTGTAGGCCTGTCTTCACCTACAAGATTGGCTGGCCCCTTTGTACCGCAGCTCAGCTGGTGGCTGGTTTATTCCATTCATTTTATCAGTTTGTCACGTGCCAGACCCTGTGCAAGAACTCCCTTTACCACTGGCTTGTTTTATGCTACTAGTGAAATAGTTTGAACTTTCCAAATCTGTTCCGTAAATAGGGATTTATTCTCCCATCTATGCCACAGGATAGTTGTGGAAAGAACCGGGGATATGACAAATTATTTCACACTCAGGAAAAAAAAGAATAGCTATAATTTAAATTTTTGGCCTGGCACAGTGACTCACGCCTGTAATCCCATCAGTTTGGGAGGCTGAGGCAGGAGGATTGCTTGAGTCCAGGAGTTTGAGACCCGCCTGGGAAACATAGCAAGACCTCATCTCTACTAAAAATTTAAAAATGAGCCAGATGACGTGGTATGTGCTTGTGGTCCCAGCTATTTGAAAGGCTGAGATGGAAGGATCACTTAAGCCCAGGAGGTTGAGGTTGCAGTGAGCTGAGATCGGAGATCGTGCCACCGCACTACAGCCTGAGTGACAGATTGAGATCCTCTCTCAAAAAAAAGAAAAGAAAATAAAAATTTCTTAGTAATTTGACATTTAGGATGTTTTTTCATTTTTACCATTCTTCCGTGGTTTTAAACAACTCAGTCTCAAAGTGAGCCGGAGTCAAGGGGAAGAATGAGCCAATGATACTCATTCAACAAACATTTGTGCACAAAGTGTACATATTCTAGGCACTGTGGAAGCTACTGGAGGCACAGATGAGGAATACGTCACCGCGGCCCGCCGTCTGCTGAGGTGTCGTCTTCTTTGCCTCAGGCCTCAGTGGTAAACTGACCAGCCGAGGAGTCTGTGTCTGCATCAATACTGCTTTTGAGGGGAACCTGCTGGATTCCTATTTTGTGGACCTTGTCATACAGAAACCACTCCGGATACATCACCATTCAGTCCCAGTCTTCATTCCTCTAGAAGAGATCGCTGCAAAATACTTACAGACCAACATCCAGCACTTCCTGTTCAGTCTCTGCGAGTACCTGAATGCTTACTCTGGGAGGAAGTACCAGGCAGACCGACTTCAGGTATCTCTTTGGGATGTTATATGCCTCATTTGTGGGCCCAAGATAAATGTAAAAGGGGAAAGGGGGGGTGTTTTCTGTACTTTCAGTGTTTTGTAACTCTGAGTGAGAAGTTTGACCATTGCCTTTCTGATGTTTCTTACTTATACAGAAGCACTATTCCACCCTCTTTTCTTTTGAATCTCTGGATGATGTTGAGCTTGGGTAGTGGTTAAAGGGTTATGCACCTCTGAATGGTGGTCTTTAAGCTTTTTTCGTAAGATTGTAGAGTCCAGATGTTATACTTTTGATCCAGCAAGGATTTATGGGGTGCCTGCTATGTACCGCTCCGAGTGCCTTGCTGAACCTTGGGTATAGATCTTATTAGAAAGAGGACAGTGGTTTCTGCAGTGCCGTGGAAGAATGCTGTCCCTCTTCCTTCAACTCTAGCCTACCTTTTTGGGTTGCAGTTGAGCTAAGGTTGGGTGAAAAAAGTAGATAGAAAGTGAATGCTAATAGGTTCTAAGTGACTCCTGCAAGCTTAATGTTTCCCCCTCTGTGTATGTGGAATAACTCTGAAGCTCTCAGTTGTAGGTTTAACTGAAACTGAAACGTGGATGCAGTCATGAAGCACCTCAGCCAGTGAAATTTTTGCAGAAACAGTCTCTTGCGGAGCTGTACCCCTATAGGCCTCTCCAGGCTGCCACTGACTCTTAGTTATCTTACACATCTTTTCCATTAGCCCTTTTTTCAGACCCTTTCCTGTGCTTCATTTATTTCTCTAAAATGTAATTGATGACCCCTCTTTTTGGTTGACATAATTCAAGTGTCAGTAAGCACCACCTTTGGAACTGCAGTCATCCTCTACTTCATTTTGTTCCTTACCCCTAGAGTGACTTTGCAGCCCTCCTGACTGGGCCCTTGCAGAGAAACCCACTGTGTAACTTGCTGTCATTTACTTACAAACTGGATCCAGGCGGTCAGTCCTTCCCGTTCTGTGCTAGATTGCTGTATAAGGACCTCACAGCAACTCTTCCCACCGACGTCACTGTGACATATCAAGGTAAGGAGGCTGCCTCAGTTCAGAAATTCTCATATCCCAGTTTATTCGAGTGAAACAGGTAGAATCCATGAAGTAGACCTCGTGAGACATTTTCTTCTGTTTATATACTGTGAATTTACTCAGACCGGAAAGATAGAACATTCTTTATTTCTACCAATCTTTTCCTTCCTCTTTGTAAATGGTAAACATGATCATCCCCATTTTCCCTCCTCCTTTGCCCACCCAACACTGCCAGTGTTCTTGCAGCTTATGATTTGTTTTCACTGGGGGCTCTGCTTCAGGAAAGATAGCTAATGATAAGGCTGAGTCATGGGTCAGTTATGGTGAATGGAGCCAAATACTCATTTCACTATGAAGTCAAATGGACATGATGCGTCAGCACACACACACTCCTCCCTATGGAGCAGTCTCTAAATGGAAATTCTTCCAGACTGGCTGAGAGAGACACTTTTTGGTGACCCTGTTTCAGTTAAATGACATGGGCAATAACGAAAAATTGGTAAAATGTTTTGAGAAGGTGTCTTGCTCTTTCACCCAGGCTGGAGTGCAGTGGCCCGATCTTGGCTCACTGGAACCTCCGCCTCCCGGGTTCAAGTGATTCTCCTGCCTCAGCCTCCAGAGTAGCTGGGACTACAGGTGCACATGCCGCCACGCCCAGCTAATTTTTTGTATTTTTTATTGGAGATGGGGTTTCACCGTGCTGCCCAGGCTGGTCTCAAACTCCTGAGCTCAAGCAGTCCGCCCACCTCAGCCTCCCAGAGTGCTAGGATTACAGGCAGGAGCCACTGTACCTGGCTGGGTAAAATGTTTTTAGGAGGCAGAAATTTTGAAGCTGCCCCAGATTTCACACCATCAGTCTTTGACTTCTCTGAGCAGTCTGATTGAAGTCTCCAGTCTCAAGATTGTCCAATGAGGGGCAGCCTTAGTCCAGACCAAAAAAAAAAAAAAAAAAAAAAAAAAAGCTGTATGGGTCCAGAATATCAGCGATCCAGGCTCTGATTCCCCCAGTTGCACTGGATGAGATTGATGGAATCTTTCTTTTTAGGAGTGGACGCATTATCCACTTCATGGGAGGAGCAGCGAGCATCCCATGAAACTCTGTTCTGTATGAAGCCCCTGCATCAAGTGTTTGCTTCATTTGCAAGAAAAGGAGAAAAGTTGGATATGAGTCTGGTCTCCTAACAGAGTGTTTTCATGGCACTGGGAAAACATCAGAAGTAAGTAACCAGAACTGAAGACAGTACCAGGCAGGTGGGGCCCACCCCCCTGATGAAAACAGATGCCTACCTTTTCATCAGGATGGAAGAGCAGGTTTGAGTATAGACACTGGCGTTTTGGAACAATTCCCATGATTGTCTGGTCACTTAAAATGCTCAAGATCATGTTTTTTCAAGGTATTATCATACATGTTAGCTGAAAATCAGAAACATCTGTGGGGCAATAAAAGCCATTTTTTGTAAAAGGTGTATCACTCAAGAAGTACTTATGAAGAAAATATCTGTGGAAAAATATCAAGTTACTGAGGGCATTAAGTTCTGGGAAAGACAAGGCAGTTGTCACAATAACTGCAACTAATTTAATGCCAGGAATAGAGATGCCAAAAATCCTAAAATTCTCAGAAAGGGCCCTCACAGAAATGTAGCACTCCACTCAAACTGCAGTAGCTTGATTCTGCTGAGAAACACTGATCTAAATAAGTGGAAAAATAACCCGCATTCACTAATGAAGATAATAAAGACCCAGTACCATTTTTTTTTTTTTTAAAGGAAAGTACTTCTAGCTTTAATGGAAGCTTTTAGTAATTCTTCCTCATTTTCCTGTTTGAAACTTTTGAAAAGGAAGTTCTTCAGTGTTTGGTCAGGAACAGCACGTTCTAGGCCACTGCTTTATGAAGCATATGTGTGAGAAAGCAGTGGAGATAAAATAATCAGGGTCCAATGTGTCTTAAGATTTTGTTTCCTGAAACAGATTGTAGAGCTCTGAATGTACTAAGTAAGTCCCCTCGGAAAAAGCACGGTTAGAAATCTGCCCATAAACTCAGTGTTGTCGTGAAGGAAAGCGGGTGTCCCCCAGGTCTTCCCTCTCCTGCAGGCTCTCCAGTTAGTGTTCTGATTTACCCGTAACTGTGGGCCTCTCATCTTCTGGCACCTCTGGTTCCTTGGCATGTGGGGTCACAGATGTGAAAACCTGTGTCTGGCTGACCTGGTTCTCGTGTTTGCATCCCTAGCTTGCCTTTGCCCGGGCATAGATAGGAGTTATGACTGCCCAGGGCCCAGGGCCACGTTCAGACTTCGCCCTGCAGTGGCCACTTCCTAGACCTTGTGGTCATTAAGTAACCTCCATGTGGGAGAGCTCCAGCGAACTCTGGGAGCAGTGCAGGGTACTAAAGCTGGCTTGGACTACCCTTCTTTAGAAACAGAATAAAATAGAGACGGGGCTGGGCAGCAGTTCTGGGGTACAGTGGGCTATGGTGAGACCTTCAAGCTTTTGCCCTCCAGGCCTGTGGTGGGGCCCAGTGGCATGAGTCAGCAAGGTATCAGCACTCCTCTGGTATTAACAGAATTTCCACAGCCACTTTCAAGTTGAATAAAGCTTTTAATAAAAGTCTTATTCTTTGTCAAATTCTCTCTTAAAGCAGTAGCAAAGGCGACTGTAGCAAGAGCTCAAAGGCAAGGCAATATCGGAAAGTGTATTGAACAGAAGATTAAAAATATAAATGTAGAAGATCTGTTTATATATTTTTCTTTCAGAAATAAATCCCTCCCCCGCCCGTGCCAGGTGAAAGGAAATATTGCACTTTCTGCTCTCATGACTAAGGAGACGGGTTCCAGAAGAACCTTTCAAGATTACCAGGAACATCAGGATGAGGGCCGTCTCAGTGAACTCGGACCATGTGGAGATAACCGGTCTCCAGCCTGAGCTCCCTTCAGAATGGGAGCAAAACGTTTCCAGCCGTGTCCCGCCGCCCCAAGCCCGTCTGAAACAGAGCTTCTCTGCCTGTGCTCCGTCCACAGTCCTGGTCAGCCCCGCGGCAAAGGCAGCATCGTCCCAGCTTTGCCACCCTCCTGCTCACAGTGGCCAGGGCCCCTCAGGGTCATGGAGGGCAGGGATTGGAACTAGGCTCTGGAAGGACCGTTCAGCCCTACACCTAAGACCCCTACACTGGGGACACTACAGGCACACTGAGGAAGAGCAGGGCCACCCTCAGAGCTCCCACGTCCACGAACGCACAAAGGCTGAGGAGATTCTAAACCTAAAGTCGGTGAGTGCACTTCAATCCGGGAAGGTCGGGACTTGGTCATGTGTCCTCTCCCAAGGCCTTTCTTCAGTTCCAAAAGATAAATTCTCCCTCCCAGTCTGGGCTGTCGCAGGCTAGAGGCATTCAGGAGCTGTCCTCCACCTGGTGGGGCAGCGTGACGGGGGGGCCGTTGGGGAAGGCGGTGGGCTTCTCCCGCCCCTTCAAGAAGAAGGTCAGCAGCTCCCCCTTCCCCTTCACAAAGATGGGGCCTCGCCTGACAAAGCGGAAGCCGTACTCTCGGAGGATGACTTGGGTTTCTTCTACCACCTGGGGAGGAGGGAGAGCAAGAACATGGTGGCACAGGAGGAGCTGAGCACTGATCCACACGGTGCCCACATGTGATCCACGGGTCCCAGGCGGTACACGGCCCTCAGCACCCTCCCAGCGCCAAGCCCTGACTTCCACCTGTGGTGAGCAGCAAGTGGGCAGCGGAGCACTGGAGTGAGTGGCTGGAGGCCTCTGTCCTAGGACGGCATGGGCCTGGGTGGCAGCACTGTTGCCTGGACACTCACTCTCTGTTCTTCTGTCCCCTTTTGCCCCTTTTGTGGAGCTTTTCTGCCAGACCCCATTGACACAGACACAGGACGGCTGAAGATTCATACCAAGAGGCAGACTAGACTCATCCAGAACTTCAACCCAGATTTGGTGGATGGGTGGAATCGTTTGCCCCTGTGCTAAGGCTAGCTACGGCAGAAACTCCTTCCCACTCGCCCCTTGCCTCTGCCTGCGGACTTACTGTTCGGGGCCCAGGATGGGAGGCAGGGGCGCGTGGGGAAGCCCTGTTCTCATTTGTTCCCATGCCCTGAGTCTGAGCACGCCCCAGCTCTGCTGCTGGACATACCTGAATGTTACCCATGACCCCCGTGGATTCCATCCTGCTGGCCACATTGACTGTATTGCCCCAAATGTCGTAGTGTGGTTTCCGGGCTCCGATGACCCCAGCCAGAACCCCGCCTTTGTTCATGCCTGGGGTGGAGGCATAAAGGTCAGCACAGCCACAGGCCAAACCCTGTCCTGAGCCTCAGAAGCCATCAACTCCCCTTATAGAATTTGTCATCAGACCTGTACCACAAAGCTCCTAATTTTGTAACACATCATTGTCCTTGTTCAACTTGGCTGTGTGCTACTGGAGGGTGGAAATCACACCTCCCGTTCATCCACGTGCTTGACAAGTGTCAGCTGCCACCCGCCCCCCAATATGCAGATTTACTCCGCATGGTAGTGGCCAGCTTCTGACACACCGGGTATTTCAAGTCTCCTGTGACCTTGTTCAGGAATGAGAAGCTCCCCTCAATGGGAAGTAGCAGGTGATCTTAACTCCTTTCAAAGAGCAGGCTGGTCTGGGAAGCCATGCCCTCTGCAGGCACAGAAACCCCTCTGGAAATGGATCACAAACTCACTTCTCAGTGAGGTAGGCCAGGCTACAGGTATAGCCTGACCCTTACATCATAAAGGTTTTTGGTTTCGTCATATAGAGGAGTGTGGACTAAAGGTCCTTCAGGTTCCCTAGCCCTGTGAGTGTGTGAACCTCCCTACGCGAATGCCTCAGTTATCCTCGTCTCCTGTCTCTCCTCCTGGTGGGAAGGGAGCCTGCCGCAGGGCTGGCCGGCCAGGAGTGCTTACCTATGCGCAGCATGAAGTTGTTGAAGGACTGGTTGTTGATGTTGGTGAGCGTATCCTTCATGGCCAGTGCGAAGTCAGCCAGGTCAGCCAGGTGCTGCCAGCGCTCTCGATCAGACTTGTCCTCCTGTGCCAGGGGACAGTGGAGAAAGTGTCAGGGCACAGTCACTGCAGCAGCCTGCTCTGTTGCCTTACTTGGCAGTGTTCTGGGGTGGGTTCCCTATACCTAGATGTTCACAGCCTATTTCCCTTTCTTCCACAAAGGAGTTGGCAGCCTTGCCAGCTCTAGCTTGCCACTGTGACGAAGCTCACGTGTGTCCCTCTAGCAGGTTTAGGCAACAACTGGGCAATGAGGGTAGAGAAGACAGACCCATGAGTCTGACTTCGAGATGGGCCTCTTCGCCTTGGCTGGCCCTGGCCCTTAGGTTTGTCAAGTTGTCCTTGTTTGGATCCTTCAACTAGGTGATAAGCACTGGAGGGGGATGGCCCACCTTGGACATGGGTTTTTTTTTTTTTCTTTTGAGACGGAGTCTCACTGTTGTCCAGGCTGGAGTGCAGTGGCACAATCTTGGCTCATTGCAACCTCTGCCTCCTGGGTTCAAGTGATTCTGCTGTCTCAGCCTCCTGAGTAGCTGGGACTACAGGGACGTGCCACCACGCCTGGTTAATTTTTTTTTGTATTTTTTGTAGAGACGGGGTTTCACCATGTTACCCATGATGGTCTCAATCTCCTGACCTCGTGATCCACCCACCTCAGCCTCCCAAAGTGCTGAGATTACAGATATAAGCCATCATGCTGGGCCTTGGATATGTTTCTTTAACCTCATCCCTACAATAGAGAGGGCCATGGGATGGTCACAGAGGTAAAACAGGTTGATGCTGTTTTAAGACCAAAGCTTGGGACCAGGGCCCCTTCACCGTGTTTTCTATCCTGGGCTGAATACAGGTCTAAATTAGCTTAACAAAAGTTCTGACGGCCACTCTGGAAGTTTCCATTGTTACATGATTGCATAGATGGTTCCTGTCCCCAGTTCCTATGAAAGCACAGAGCCTTAGGGGGTCTGGCCACAGAACACAACCATCTTAGGCCTGAGCTGTGAACAGCAGGGGGTTTTATGTCTGTTCTGTTTCTCTGCTTGTCAAACCTTCTCAATAAACCCTGTTTCTTATTTGTTTACATGGTGCTCCTGGTGTGTGTCTGGGACCCCTTTGCACCACAGTGCTTGTTTCCCGCATGCTGGGTCTGGGCTGCCAATCTCTGGCCTGGGGGCAGAGCCTCGTCTCCTCTCTGGTCACTGAGGTTACCTACCTTGTTGGAGCTGGTGTAGCCATTGGTGTTGACGTCGGGGGTGACTCCTGAGGCTGCCATATACGTGCTGCCAATGGTTTTGATCTTGGTGATCACCCGGAACTTGGGATTATCCAGGAGCTGAGGCCAGGATTCAGGAAAGAATTGTCAGCAGAGTCAAGAGAGATGAATGAGCCAACCCAGTGACACACGTGCCTGTTGACAAGGACCCCGCAAAACCCAAGAGATGGCTTCCTTTCAAAGTTTTTACTTATTCTACCGCTTATATGCCACATGATCCTGGGAAAACTTCCTGACTTTTCTGGGCCTCACTTTCCACAATCTCAACATTGACATAAAATTGCCAGTGTCCTAGGGCGGCTAAGCATGTGTGTAAAAGCATTCTCCCTGGTATACAGGTTACCCAATCAATGCTGACCAGCTCTGAATTTGAGGGGAGAGGAAGAGAGGGGTGTCAGGATGTTTCTTGGCCAGCTTCATCCCCTGTGACCCTGTGGGTGATGTCCCAGGCTCCCACCTCACCTCCCTCTTCCCGGCCCAGCAGTTCCAGGTGGCTGTGGAAATCCGTATACTGCAGAAGGGGCTTATCTGGAAAATAGAGCCACTCTAGAGTGACTCCAGATTCCCTGGCTTGTGCAGCCTATGTGATGTGGAATGGGCCAGCTTCATGGCCAGAGTGCGGGGTGGATGGACACTCACAGAGTCAAAATCCGAGATGATCTCATTGAGGAAACGCAGACACTCAATGCCACCATTGTTGATGCTCTCCTCTGTGTAGAAGTCGGCAAAGTTGGGCAGGGAGGCAAACATGACTCCAATCTCATCATACGTCTGGCTGTACAGCTCCTACAAAGAGGCAGGGCCGAAGGCTCAAAGCACGTCTGACTGACAGGATGATGTGCTGGAGAAATGCGCCTATCTTCCACACACGACATGGGCACTCAGCATTTTGGACTCACACATCTCTTAGATTATCCCAGGTTTTTTCTTTTTTTTTTTTTTTTTTTTGGAGACAGATTTTCACTCATGTTACCCAGGCTGGAGTGCAATGGCGCGATCTCGGCTCACCGCAACCTCCGCCTCCTGGGTTCAGGCAATTCTCCTGCCTCAGCCTCCTGAGTAGCTGGGATTACAGGCACGCACCACCATGCCCAGCTAATTTTTTGTATTTTTAGTAGAGATGGGGTTTCACCATGTTGACCAGGATGGTCTCGATCTCCTGACCTCGTGATCCACCCGCCTCGGCCTCCCAAAGTGCTGGGATTACAGGTGTGAGCCACCGCGCCCAGCCTATCCCAGGTTTTTTTTAAGGGTCTGGGTCTTGCTGTGTTTCTCAGGCTGGAATGCAATGGCAGTAAACAAGCACGGTTAGGTATGGCTGAAGCGCACTGCGGCCTTGAACACAAGGCGTCTGGGACAACAGGCATGGCTGTAGATTATCCCAACTCTGAATAATTTAAAAGTAGCTCATCACTATTTTTTTTTTTTTTTGAGACTGAGTCTGGCTCTGTCACCTAGGCTGGAGTTAGAGTGGGGCAATCTCAGCTCACTGCAACCTCCACCTCCTGGATTCAGGTGATTCTCCTGCCTCAGTTTCCTGAATAGCTGGGACAACAGGTGTGTACCATCAAGTCCAGTTTATTTTTGTATTTTTTAGTCGAGACAGGCTGGTCTCAACTTCTTGACCTCAGGTGATCCACCTTGGCCTCC